GTCCCACCGGGGGTTGGGGTGCATGGGGAGCAGGGGGGTCCCAGCAGGGGTTGGGGGAGCAGGGGGGTCCCAGTGGGGGTTGGGGGCACATGGGGAACAGGGGGGTCCCAGCGGGGTTGGGGAGCAGGGGGGTCCCAGCGGGGTTGGGGTGCATGGGGAGGGTTTCATTCCACAGACTGAGAACCCATCTGCAGAGGCTGGGAACGGGCAGCGCGTTCCTGGGTGTTTTAACAGCGCTCGTTTTCCCAGCCGGCGATTGCGAACCCCGCAGGCTCTCGCGTCTCAGCGGGCGACATGGAGGAAGAGCCAGGAGCCCCCACGCTGCAAACGCGGCATCAGTAACGCCCGGGATGCCTGGGCCAGCCCGTCTCCCCCCACCCCACCCGCCTGCTGAACAGCGAGACGATGCTGGGGGCACAAACCTCCCTCCCTGGCCCCCTGAGAATTAACCCAGCCGGACAGGTGAGGGCGGGATCCCACGCCAGGACTGGGTCGGGTCACCTTGATTTACTCCCCTCTTGAGCTATGGGCCCCTCGGCCCAAGCACCACCCCACAGCCAGCTGCTCTCCGGGGCCCTGCGCTGCGTCTGGAGTTCTCTGCCGCCCGCCGGAAACCTGCCCCACCGCGCTGGGCCGCGAAGGCCCAGTGAAGTCTGAGTGCGGGGAAACAGCCCGAGATGGGTAGGAATTCTCACCCCCAGCAGGGGGCGCTGCGGGGCGCGGGGCGGGCGGGTTGGCTGCTGGGGCAGATCCCCGCTGCGCCAGTCCCAACCTTTCACCCCCTAACAAACAGGAAATGGCAGCTGTATTCCCTGAAATCCTCCGGGGCCCTCCTGCCATGCCCTGGCTCTGGGCACCCGAGAGCAGCTTGTCTACCCGGCGCGTTCTGCCAGCACCCAGCGTGACCGTACCCTGCCATGGCATAACGCCTGCTATAAATTGTCACGCTTGCAATTCACGCCTTGGCTGCCGCGGGTGGCTCCTGCCTCCGTCCTGCCCCGTAGCTGAGCCTTTGAGGGGGGAACAGGGGTTGATTTCCCAACTCTTGCTTTCTGCATTGGGCCGGGCGCAAGGACACCCCCGGGGCCCTGCAGGGCCAGCCCCTGGGCCTTTTCCAGCCTGTGCTTGGCTCTTCCACCCCCCTGTCCCTCAGTGAAAGCGGATGCAGCACTCGCAACCCAAGCACAGCCCCCGTCCCCCGGTGCCCAGGGTCTCGAGAAAGAGCCAGGGATGCTGACACGGCCCCTGTGGCCAAGATCCAAGGGGCCAGAAGGTTCTGCAAACAAAGGGCTTTTATTGTCCAAACACAAGGAGGATCGGGTCCCTTCCCACCCAGGATCGGGACCGCGGCTCGGCTGGGTGGGCACCCCCGGGCTGGGCCGCTGCTCTCAGGGGAGCCTGCATCCCCCCCCTGGCTGGATCCCCAGCCGCTGGTGTGCTGAGGTCTTGGGCTCTCCTTGGGCAGTGGTGGAAGTCCTTCGCAGCAGCCGCTGGGTGGTGGGGGGCGGGTTAGAGAGAGAGATAAAGGGGGCAGGGAACAGGCCCCCCCCCATAGAGCAATGGGCTGAGGAGGCATCAGTTGCTTCGGCGCATCCTGCCCGGCCTGGGGAGAGAAGAGGAGACAGTGAAATGCCGCATGGCCTTTGGAGGCAGGGTCCAGGCTGGGGAGCTGGGATCCCATGGTGGGGAGAGAAGGTTCCAGGCCTGGAGCTCAGGTTTGTTCTGAATCTCCGTCCCCTGGAGCAGAGGCTGGAGGGAATCGCGCTCCCGGCACGGCTGGGCCGGTGGGTGTGACTCAGGGCACCGGCTGTGCCCGCACGACGCTGGCCTAGCAGAGGCGTTTGGAGTCGGGATGGTTTCGGGGAGTTAGAGCTCTCAGCAGCCCTGCAAGGCGAGTATGTTCACGGGTGGGGAAACTGAGGCACAGGGAAGGCCTTGCCTGAGGCCAGGGCAGAGCTGGGCGTACGGCCCAGGCGTTCTGATGCCCTATCCCGAGTGATGAAAGCAAAGCCACGCTGCCCCCTTTGCATGGGGCCCGTCCATGCCGGTGCCCTGGCCAGAGCCCCCAGGGCCCCCCAACAGGCGTTTGGTTCGCTCGGGCTGGGACGGGCTTGGTTCCCCGTGAGGGACGCGGCGCTGCAGAGAGGAGCGGGGGGAGAAGGTGAATGACTTGTGCCCGTCTGATGGCATTGGACCTCAGCTGGCAGCGGAGCAAGTCCCTATGCCTCAGTTTCCCCCTCTGCAGAACGGGGCTCAGGCTCCTGCCCTCGGAGGTCGGCTGCTGGGAGGTGCT